CTCCCTGGTGGCTCAGGCGCTGCACTGTGAAGCTGTCCGCAGCCTCTGCAGCGCGGGTTCGATCTCGGCCGGCCGGTGAGAATCCCACATGGCGCGGCAGACCTCTCCTGTCTCCACTGCTCCCCTCAGCTGTGTATTTCAGTCAGTCTGCCTGTTCTGCTCCCTGCTCTGTCTCTGGTGAATCCTCTCACCCTCCCGCGCATCTGGCCTGTACCCCAGCACTTGTATAAATAAAAAATAAATCTTTTAAAAAAAAGTGGAAAACATATCCTTTCTTATTTAACCCAGTTTCTTGAAATTCTTTATTATACTATATAAAGTTTTTTCACTTTTGACCATCTTCCTATCCTTCATATTTTTAATAGGGCCTAAAAACGTGCACATCATTGAGAGTGCTGTCGATTGATGCAAAACGTCTTCTATAATTCCTAAAAATATTTTCCAAGGGGCAGAACTCAGCAACTGTGTTTTCTTCTTTCTGGAGATTGACTATCCTCTGGGTGTTCCTTTTCACCTCCAGTTTCCCTAGGGCCTCAGCTGGCAGAGAACAGTGTGAGGAGGAAGCAGGAGATAGCTCAGGCATACCTTTTATTTAAATGGCATTATCTGCCAATTCCTCAGTAGGGTTTAAAGGAAAAAAACAACTCCATGAGTGAAGGACTTCCTCCTTTGTGTGAACTCTCTCATACTTTCACTTCGGTCAGTTTGTGTTCGAGCAGCTGTATTTTGAATTTATAGCATCTTTCTCTAGAGCACGCATTTTGCTTCTAAATAGTCCTGTTCACTCTCTTTTCCTGTCTTCGATGAAGAAGCTGAGACTCAAAACTAAACTAAAGGAGTCCTTTGCCCTATCCCTTCATGCATCCTGGAAAAGAAAGGAACACACTTGGCATCTTGCTTCTCTACTGGACTCCTCAAAAGTTAAGTTGAAAATGACCCTGAAGCCTCAAGGAAGAGTAAGTTGTATTAGTTTTATGCTGAGTATGTATTTTAAATTACATATAATCAAAGTTTACATATTTCCTTCTGTAACTCTCTTTTCACCTAATCAGGGCTTAGACTTTTAAAAGATGTACCTATAAGGTAAATCTTGTTTAGGAAAAATAACTAAGGCTGCAAGTAAATGTTGCAGATCATGGGGTTTTATTTAAACTTGGCTCCCAAATTACCCTATTATCATCGTTCTATATTTGTACAGAAATTCCTGACCACATAAATCCGTCCTCCCCTGATGTTTTTATTAGTTTCCAAAAGCACTAGAATGAATGCTCTTGTAAATAATATTTTAATGCTTGCATATATACTATTTCACTTGACAAAATTAGTAATGTCATATCATTCATGAAAAGTTTGACATCGTTCATTTTTCCTGCTATCTACTGTTCCTGCCAATGCCCGTTCTTGACCGCTGCTATTCTCTCCTTCAAACAATAAGAAAGCAAAATGCTGAATCTGAATTTCCCAAATTACAAGTGTCAGATCTAAATATATTCACGAAAGTTATCGAGGGATCCAAATTAACTGAGGGCAAGAAAGAAGATTAGAATAAGTGGCAATTAGCCTCATCTTTCGGGGGCTTTCTGCCAAAAAGCTACAAGCCACATGGAGTAGGTGAAAATGAAATGGGGAGTAATGATGTGATTCCTTTTCAACTTAAAACACACTCATTCCCAAGGCAAGAAGTGCCCCCAGAACTATTCTTAAGCAACACAAAGTACCAGGTAAAGAGTAACAATTTCAATGAATAAAAATAATAAGAACAGGGGAAAAGGTGCTAAGATATCACCTAAATACAAGACAAGAATTATCGAAAATGTAAAAGTTGACCCTTCGAGTCATCTCCCCAGACATCATGAGCCTGTGTTCACAAAAAGGTTTTGTAAGTTTGCCTTTTTTTTTTTTTTTTTTTTTTTGGAGAAGTGGATAACGTTTAGCCTTGAGAAATACTGAGGCATAAACCTGTTATCTGCATGGAACCTTAAACACCTAATTTGTATTTCTCTAAATATGGCGATAAATTAAGTTAAGTTTCATGCTTAGTTTTATTCAAAAATCCCTAAGTTGTTGGGACTCTAGAAAGGAACCTTGGTGGTGAATTGCCTTTTTCTTAAATCGTTAGGTTTCCAGAGACATCTTGCAAAATCACAGCTTGACTACTTACAAATGTATCCCCTCTTAATAACTTGCTGGGATATGTGACAATCTTTCTCACACTATTATATGCCCACGGTAGTTTTATCTACTGCATTTCTTCACGTGTAGCTATAGCTGCATGTGTCTGCGAGGAACCGCAGCATCTCCATGCCACAGAATGTGAACTTCACACACACTGTGCACACATCCCAGTGGGACATCCCGGCAGCCGGTGAAGCCAAAGCACCATTTTATACATGGAGAAGTTAAAACCAAGAAATAGTAAAGTTTAACCTCACTGACCCAAAGACATCAGCTAATTTATTGGCAGGAAATAAAATCAAGAAAATCAAAATAGCTTTTTAGTTTGCGTAGATAACGAGTGACTTACCTGAAGGTTTTGTTTCTCTAGTGAGCATAACATTTTAGGCCAGAGTTTTCAAACTTCTTTGACCTCAACCCTAACTAAGAAACGCATGTTACCTCACGGTCGGCACACACAAGCATGTATAAGTAAAACAAAAGTTTCAGGAAACAAAACTCACCTAATCGAAATCTTTTCTATCATGTTCTTTCCTATTTTAATCCTTAAAAGATATGTCCTAAACTCACTGAACTGATTTCAAGATCCTCTGATTCTTCACAGCTTGAAAACACTGCTCTAGTCCCCCCAAACTTCTGATAAGTACTGAAGAAATTAAAGATTCTTTGAATAACTCTGGGTAAACAGTTATTCAGAAAGGAAAGCTGAGAAGCACGGAAATATTAAATAACTTCTTTCCATTTTAATCCACACTTGCATGGACCCCACTTCTTCCTCCCTGACTAATAAATAGCGTTCAAACAAGAAGGATGTAATGGGAACTCATCTACAAAGGAAAAAAATCATTCTTAAACAGGATTTCTGCACAGAATCCCATGTTTGAAAGTTTTTCACTTTATCTTTTTTCAAGTTCCTGATTTTTTTTTTTTACTATTCTAAAAGTATTTGAATATCACCTAATGCAAAAACGTTTAGGATGCGACATATTATAATATTATTTGCCACTGGTATGATGAACAATTTTGAATAAAATGTGAACCCTCTTTAATTGACCACGCACCCTTTGTAATTATTAGCAAGGGAGTAAATAATCCACTGAGGAGCGATCTCATTAGTGCCCATTGAAATTCAGTGGCATTAATTTGCAATAAAAGAACTGAAAATTAAATGCAAAGGAAATAGTTTCCGGAGTCCACCATGAGGTTATGAAATTCACATCATACCAGTGCCTTCCATCCCTCCTTCCATCAAGGAGTTTAAAAAGTGTGAATTAGACTTAATCGTTATATTTTGTTCTGACACTTTTTTAAGTGGGCAGAGTAAGTTCTTTTTCTCTTTCCATTTTAACCCTGAAATATATTAAACTAAACTACGCCAACTTTTAAAAGTTTTGTTCATTGTTTGTCTTTTAAGTAAGAGCTGAGGCTGGACCTGCTGGGTTGTGGGATGCTGAGGGAGCAGCAGGTATAAATTCAAAACACCCCTCGCCCAGCTCCAGTCTCCCCTGGAGTCAACCCACACCTTCCTCGGTTTCTTCGGTTGCAAAAGTCTTGGGAATTAGAAAATGACCCGCGGCTTGCAAAGCAGAAGGGTCTGGGAGAGGGGGGAGTCAGGTCCAACGTGCAGCCTGGCAGAGAGCGGCCGGCACCCCTCCGCGTGGGCGCCCGGGGCCTCCCGAAGCGCTGCAGGGCATCCTGCTCAGAGGGCGCCGCAGGACACAGCTACTCCCCAGAAACAGCCCCGCGGCCCTCCCCAGGCCAGGGAAAAGAGAAACTCCAGGGGAGCCGAGCAGAAGGGGTGGGGGAGGAGCCTACCACGTCTACTCGGGGGAAAATTAGTAAGGACACTAAATATTTGCCACTTCAGCCACAAAAGTGCCCCTGCGCGTCCTGGGACTGCCAAGCTTCCCCGCCGTGGCCGAGGGGCGCGGGCCCCAGCGGACCCAAAGAACCCCAGAGGACCCCAGCGGACCCCAGAGGACCCCAGCGGGCCCCGCGCCCACGACAGTCCCTGCGCGAAGGGGCCGGGACGGTGACTGCGCGGGCAGGAGAGGATTTCAAAACGCTGGGGTGTCGGCGTGGCTCGCCTTAAACTCTCGGGACACCTGTCAATTCCCGGCCGTCAGCAGTCAGGTGCCCCAGGCATCTGCGCCCCCCCAGCGGGGGCCCGACCCGAGGCCGCCCCAATCAGACACCTAAGACCCTTCCACCGGCTCCTCCGCGGAGCACAGCGCACCCCGGGGCCGGGGCGGCGGATGGGGCGGCGCGCGGACGTGGGCGCGGGAAACCACTGCCCCCCACGTCTCCCCCACTAAAGGAAACTTTAGGGGCACATTCAAACTAACATTTTCAGTAATAGTAACAATAACAATAATAATAAGTAAAACTGTGAGCGCCTCTAAACCCTGAGCACCCCTAGTCTTCCATTTAAATACCAAAGCGGAGGTTGCCCCGGGAGGGACTCGACGCGCCCCGCACCTGTTTGCTTTGGGGTGTTCCCACACCCCCCAATAACTGCAACTTTGTGCCGCTTCCCACCCCTATTTGGCCGAGAAGCACACGGGGTTCTCCCGCGCACCGGGGGGTGGAGAGCAGCCTCTCCAGGGCGGCCTGGAGGGCGCTGGGCTCTGGGGCGCGGGACCCACCTAACCCGCCCCCTCCAGCCCCGCCGGGCCGCGCGCCGGCCCTGGGGCTGCCCGGCTCCCCGCCCGCGGCCTGCGGCCTCCCGCGAGCTCCCCGCGCGCGGCTGCGCCCGGCCCCCCCATCCCCCGCCCGGCGGGCGCGCGGCGCTCACCCCGACGTGGCGCGGCGGGCAGCGCGGGTACCTGTAGAAGGGCGGGGGGCCGGCCTCGCGCACCGCATAGCTGCTCGGCTCGTTCTCCAGGTAGTAGTGCACCTGCTGGCCGTGGGGGTGCAGGAAGGGCGAGAGCTGCGGCGGCTGGTGCAGCAGCACCATGGGGCTCGGAGACACGCTGTTGAGCGGGGGGAAGCCCCCCAGGCCGTTGGAGCCGAACGCCGCCGCCTCGGACCCGGGGCCGTACGCGAGGCCCGGCTGGCCGTAGACCGGCGCCGGGGCGGCCGCCGCGGCGTTGAAGTCGTACGCGGCGCCCTCGGGGTAGTTGTACACGGCGGGCTTGCCGCTCTCCACGTACACCTCGCCCAGGGGCCGCTCCAGGGGGATCTTGAGCTGCGCGCGGCCCAGGGGCTCCAGCTCCGAGCCGGCGATCTGGTGCAGCAGGGCCATTCCCGACGCTTTGGTGTGGAGGGTCATGGTCATGGCCAGGGGCCGCCGGCGAGGCGCAGACGGGCTCCCGCGCGGCGCGGGCTCAGCAGCAGACCGGCCACCTGGAAGACAAGCAGAGCCGCGGTTAGGGGCGGCGCCGCCGGGGAGCTCCGGCCCGGCGCGGGGAGCCGGCCGGTCCGCCGGGGAGCAAGTGCAGCCGGGCGCGGGCGCGCGGCTCGGGCTCCGGGGTGCCAGGTCTCCAACTTTAAGTACCGGGTCTCCGGAGTCATATGCATTACAGAGGTGCTGGCAGCCGGCCAGGAGCGGTTGCCGCGCACGGACTTGGGCTTAGACATCACTCCGGGCGCAACTCGTTTTGGAGCGATCCCAAAGAGCAGCTTCCCTGAACTTTACTTTACTTGTCGCTGCTGGACGGAGGCAGGATCTCGCCGCAGAGGGCGGGAACGCGGAGGGGCGCCTGGCGGTGGCCCCGGGGAAGAAAGGGTGCAAAACCGACTCGGGAGGCGCATCCAGGGGCCGGCTCTCTCCAGCGCGCGCGGCCTCTGCGCCGGGTGCCAGACTCCAATCTATCTCTGTTTGTCTCTTTCTGTTTGATTCCCTCTCCGTGTTGGCTGGAAATGGGGAGTGTGTGCACAGAGTGACCCTGGGGAGGACCACTCCGTAACAGACACGGCAGATAGAAGGGGGCGTGCGGTTGCACGTGCAGGCGGCCCCAGACAGCTCTGTTTGGCAGCTGCAGGCACTGCTAAGCTGGCAGGAGGCAGGAGGGCGGAGATTCAAGGTGTACCCATTGGAAGCGCTGCCCTTTGCAATCAGGAGATGCTACAGGACCTCAGTTGCCTCGGCCGCAAAATGCTCGCAAAGTGGCGCGTTCCAAACCCACCTGCGGCGATTCCCGCAGGCTCGCCGCGTGTTTGGGTTGGACCCCAGCCCTGTGCTTCTCCCATCAGGAGCGCTCACGTTAAGGATGAGTCACAGAAACCTTTGGGGAGGCGCACAGGGGTGTCCATGCCTTCCCCAGGTTATGCAAGCAGAACTTCAGCAAACTGAATATGAAAGGTGACCTTTTCACGCAAAAGGTAATCTCAGGTCATGACCTGATCTTGGGCAATTTTTTGTTATCCTGTTGGTGTAACCAACACATTTTAAAATGCAAAGATTCATTTCTGTCCTTTCATCCTACCAGTGGACCTTCTCCGGTCACTTGGGCTAGGAGATAGAGAATCAAATATCCAGATGAAAAAGAGGTAGAAATAGGGAAAAGTTTTGAACTGAAATAAAAGTTCAGCACACACACGCATACACGCTAGACATGGTAAGTGTATATACAGAGTCTATGCATAGTGTGTCTATATGTATGTGTGTACATACACATAGTACATACATACGTGTACATATATCTATATGTACAAATAGCCATATATAAACACATGAAATCTGTTAAATATATTGTGCACCTATCATCTTGAATAGTTTTTAATTGAAGTCTTGAATGCTTTCTAATAAACTTCCTTGCCTCAGCCTAACAGGCTCTAATATGACCATCTGATAGAACAATTAATACTTGCTTGAATGGCTAGCCCAAACACCCAGCAGAGTACCTGACAAAGTGTTCTGTTCGTGGCATATATAAATGCCAAGGATGCTATTAATAATAGTCATATTTTTAATTTTTATGCTAATGAGTACAAATTTTCTTACAAGAGCAGAAAGACCATTTGGGGCAATACGCAAATGTTGCTGATTTAATATACAGCCAGAATGGATCTTAGCTGCCATAATTACAGACTGCAAGCAGAAAAAGGGTTAAAAACACATTAGGTGAATCACAGATATTTTTCTTTATGGCCAGCAACCATTACTTTCCAAAGCAATTTTTTACAGATGATTTTGTTTCTGTAAATCACACTTTCAATTTTCAAATGTCTTCTTTTAAACACAAGCAAAAGCACTTCATGAAAATCTGAACTGCCAAATTGTATATAAATGATCCAAAGAATCCTACAAGTCCTGAAGGAAAAAAGGAAGCACAGACATAAAGCCCATGGAAAACAGCAAACCCTTCTCTCCCTGCTAGGATACAGACACTGGCCAGAAAGGGAAGTTGCTTGCTCAAAATGCTAAAGCTACAAAAAAGAGAGATCAAAACAATCCTACCCTGCTGGATCAAAAGCGTCTTTCCAGAAATGTTCCATGGGCTTGTAGAAGTCAGGGCTGAGAGAAGGAGATGCAAGTGACTGCTCGCGTGTGTGTGTGGCTCCGTGTGTGAGCCAGGCAGAGCGTGTGTGGCTGTGTTTGTGTGTGGAATGGCAGGGATTCGGGAAGCAGCCAGTAGGCAGGGCACTGGGCGGCCCCTCCCGCAGACACAGCAGCTGGGTTGCTGCATAGAGCCGGTTGAATGGCAGTGAGGAGTGAAGAGAAGCTTGCAATCTGCTCCTGGGAGCAGTGTGGCACAGCCAGAGTCAGCTTCATTGGGGAGAAACAGAACTCCAGCCCCCTTTGCTCCTTATCCCCGGAGCCGGGGAAGTGCCCGGCTTTCTGCTGCCACCCTCAAGCAAGAGAGAAAACAGGCTTGGTACAAATCATAGACTAACAGCTGAAATAGAATGCCAGTCCAAAGTAGATGGGTATCAAGTGGACAGAATGTGATTTGGGTGGTTTTTCCTGAAGAATATAATTTAACAATAAAAACCTTCTGGGATACACTTGGCTCGAATGGCTTGCTGGCCCCAGCCCCCGGTCCCCAAACACACACCGCTGCCCTGCCTCTGATTGTAGCAGGAAACCAGACTTGGGAATAAATGTTCTGGCATTCTAAGGATGTGTTTCCCAGCTGAAATGTAACACTTGTCCACCTCGTTAACCAAGGCCACAAACCTTTTCACAAGTAGCTCGGTTGACTGTTTTCTATAAACATATAAATATATTTTTATGATATGTTACTCACAATATATATTATAAATATATACTAAAATCCCAGGTATGAAGATATGATAATTTTATACTTTCTGGTTACACAGGCATTGATCATGGGGCCAGGGGTGGGGGAGGTGGGGGCAGGTCTGTCATTACCAGATAGTCCCCAACACCTGATCCTTAACTTTTCTCTTGACCAGGAAACTAACATGATTACATGGTGCTCCCACTATGCCCTCACCCAGGGTTCCAGGCCACATGATGCCTTTGGAACCATTGTTGGCTGACATTAGTCGTTGCCTTGGGTGTTAGACGACTTCCACCACAATCCCAGGAGAAACTGAGCTCTTGGTAATATAAAAGTTACCAAAACATTCATGATGTTATATTACAAATGTATGTGTGTGTGTTTATTGCTTTGAAAGGCCCCAAATATGAAGATATTGGAACGCATAAGAGTCACTTCCACCCAATGGAATATGGTGGAAGATTATGGGTGCATCGGTGGTAAGTGTGGTAGGGTGACATTCCGCTCCAGAGGTGTGACCCATAGCCCTAAGTCATACACAGTGTTGTCAACTAATGTTAATGCAATAAAAAATTCTAAAAAAAATTTTAAAGAACCACATCCACAATCAGCAAGAGACAAATACTGAAAGGCAAGGCCAGGACCTTTTATTGGTGACAGCGGTAAAACTCAACTCTGTGTTGGGTCAGTGACCACCATGCTCTCTGCCGGCCCAAAAGAAGTGGGGGGTAGGAATGGAGGAGGGTAAAGAAATAAAGAAAGTAGGCGGAAGAAGAGAAAGCAGAAGAAAGCAGAATCTGCAAATATTCTCCTTGAATCAAATGAGGGTAAGAAGTCTAGCTATATCTTCATATACTTAGAGTATTCTGAGACTCACAAAGTTAGTTTTAAGATCACCACAATAGGCAGTTTTCTTGAAGACTTTCTATGACATCCTTTTTCCTCTTCTTTTTTTTAAGATTTATTTTTATGTGTTTAATGCATACAAGAACTGGGGTATAGGCCAGAGGTGTGGTGCGGGGGTGGGTGAGAGGATTCACCAGAGACAGAGTGGGGAGCAGAACAGGTGGACTGACTAAAATGCACTGCTGAGGAGAGGTCTGCTGTGCCACGTGGGTCAGCTCCCTGGCTGAGGATCAAACTCGTGTCACAGTGGCTGGCGATGGCTTAACAGCACTGAGACTTTAGCCCTTGCACTACCAGGGAGGCCCTTCTTTCCTCTTCTTGCTAAGAGTCATTGCCTAGACTTGGTGCTAGTGGATGGGAAAGAACACTGCCAGTTTTCTTCTAATGCTTCTCACAAACAACTTCACACTTAGCTTCTAACTCTCAGCTCTCTCTTTGTCCTTCTTTGCACTCATGCTGGGCACGCTCATTCCCCCGCACACACAGATGAAGGCTCAAGTCTATTGCTCTTGCTCCACCATCAGTATGTTACCAGGCCTACTTTTCTGGGCATTGCTGACTTGTTCAAAAAATGAGCCATCAAGATGACTGGATGATGAAAATGTGGTATATACGCACAATGGAATACTACTCTGCCATGAAAAGGATGAAATCCTGCTACAGCATAGATGAATCTACAGGTTATCATGCTTTGTGAAATAAGTCAGAAGGAGAAAGACAAACACCAATCACTCATATGTGATGCACAAAGAAACCAAACAAATGAACTAAATAAAACAAAAATAATCTTTTAAATTCGAAGACCAAATTAGTGGTTACAAGAAGGGAGAGGGAGAAGGGATAGGGAAATGAGGAAAAGGGGATCAATAATACAGTGAATGCTAGAATTGGACCTTTTTTTTTTAAGATTTATTTTTATTTATTTATACAAGCACTGGGTACAGTCAGAAGCGCGGGAGGGTGAGAGAATTCACCAGAGCCAGAACGGGGAACAGAACAGGCAGACTGAAGAAGTACACTGCTGAGGGGAGCAGCGGGCGGCAGGAGAGGTCTGCGTGCCATGCGGGACCCTCCTCCCGTGGCCGGGGAGCAGCTGGGGATAGAACCAGAGCTGCAGAGGCGTGGGCAGAATCGCAACCCAGCACTCAACCGCTGCACCACTGGGGAGGCCCTAGAATTGGACCTTTAATGGTGACCCTAACACAGGTCATACAGCCACTGATTTGTAATCATGCACCCCAGAAACTTATATAATATTATGATGCAATATTACTTCAACAGCAACAACAAGAAAATGAGTTCATCGTTCTTTCTCCCCCAAACAGGGTGTTCCTCTCATCTCCCCTGTCTGAACAGTGTCGCTGTCCTTCTGCTCAGCCAGATTAAAGCATCACAGTCTTCTTGGAGGGCTCTTCCCCTTGCCATCTGGATTGTCAGTCTTCTAGCTTTGCAACTCTCCCTTTCCATTCCACTTCTACAGCTCTCTTTCAGGCCCTCATTACCTACCTGACGTAACTCCTAGGAACCTCTTGGCCTATTCTTCCCCTCCCTGGCCCCCTGCCACTTCTTCTTAGATGCTGCTGCCTTTTAGTTCCATGGGTTTTAGTGAGTCACGACTCATGTTCTCATGACACAGCGCCTTTCACCCAGGACATAGCGCCCCCATGAGTGCAGGCCTGCATCTCCCATAATTATCCCTCGGTGTAGCTCCCCATATATGTCTCCTGTGCACCGAGAGCTTTCCTGCTGGCATTCTCTGCCTCCAGGGCCCACGTTGTTGGCCTGCCCAAAGAAAGCCTACCCTGTATTAAGTTCCAGCCCCAAAACCACTGTATCCATAATCCCTTCTTTACCTTATTCAAGGAAAATTTCCTCTCCTCTGAACTCTGGTGGAATTTCTCAAGCATGCATTGCATTCTTCCTTGCATAGAGTTATTTACATGTATTTTTATCCCTT